CACGACACGGACCCGGACCCGGACGCACCGCACGCAGGCTGGAAGTCTCCCCGAGGAGGTGTTTCCCCAACCACCGGGTCGGTTGGCGGTTAAACCTGTCGTACTATTGGTGAACCGGAGCACTGCCAGTGCGTCCGAGGTAGGTGGGGCCCCTGGGGGGGGAGGGGGGGAGGGGGGGGGGAGGGGGGGGGAGGGGGGGAACCTCTACTGGCAGGAGCGAGGTAAACAAGCTTCTGATATACTTGCATTATTGGGATAGTGCATGTGAGAGGAGATATCAACTGATTTTTTGCCCAACAAAGTGACATTTATATCCTAAATTAGCATTTTTTATCGAGAATATTTCGAAGGTCAATAATATTCGGGGGATTTAACTTTGGCAGGAGTTTTGCATAATCAAGGGGGAACGGAGAGGAGGGGAAAGGGAGGGGGAAGAGGAGCGATTGCAACTGTCCTGTCCGCAGTTACCTACCCCCAACCCCAACACATACAGACGCACTTCCGTAACCCTACCCACCCCACCCCTACTCCACCCCATCTTTTCCACACACCCCATGCGCACCCCTAGGTGTTTGCGGGGGCTCTTCACGACAACGGTCGGGGGGCTCTGCTCGGGGAGAGGACGTTCGGGAAGGGGCTGGTGCAGGTGCGTGCGTGTGTGTGTGTATGGTGACGGAGTGACGGGAGGTAAGGGACACACACCCCAGGTTGGGGGATATCAGGCGAGGGGTGCAAGAGGTCCGAAGTCTCCCCACCCGCCCCACAACACCCCAACAACGGCGGTATCCGTATGACACCCCCCCGGGGGGACCCCTCCACTCATCACCCCCTTTTCCCCTCCCCTCCCCTTTCCCCCCATACACATACACATACACACCACACGCCTGGACGCGCCCCTCAGTACTACTTCCCGCTGCGGGAGGGAAAGGACGGCGGAGTACGGGTGACAGTTGCAAAGTGAGTTGTGCCGTATGTCGTACGTTCCCTCATCATACAGGGAGGGAGAGACGATCGGAGGGGACAGCGGGTGGGGGGTGTGGGCGGGGAGAGGAGGAGGGCGGGGAAGTTAAAACGCTTGAAGGTCTTGAAGCACTTGAAGGTTCCATTTATTGGCTCTGAAGGAACTGGAGATTTAGGGTTCTACAATC